TTTTGGTGTTTAGGTAATAATAGTAGTAGTAATGAATAAAAAGACATAATTAAGTCATGCTCAAAGAATTGAACATGCTTCACTTGGTACCAACACACTTAACTACGTGCTTATGGTTAAAAACAAGTCTTTTGGAAAGAAATAGCTCTAGTTAGTGACTTTGTGACTCTTGGGTTGACTTAGGCAATTATCGAGTGGTTTAATCGAATTATAGTGATTTTCAATCTTGAATGTGGTCGTTGTGGGTCCTCGACTCTATCCTCTTTAACAATCCAGTTGCGTGAGAGGTGAGATGTTTTTGTTACAAGTCCAAGTACCCGTACGAATAGTCTAGAACTTGCCCCGAATGTATTTCAAGACGAAATCGTAAGTTTTGCTTGGCTTGATAAATGATTGTAGGCTTTCCTTGACCCGCTTGAATTCTCCATTACCTACCAATGTTATTATCCCTAGTCAACCCATTTGAGCCTCAAGCCTTTCTCATTTGATAACCATGTTACAAGCATGTACCCATTTTGTCGTGACCCTCTCTTGGCACCCGAGCTTTCCTTAACACTCTTCTGAAATAATTGGCTAAAAATGTAAGTTTGGGGGAGAGACGAGGAGCTTGAAAGAGGTATCAAGGCACAAAAAGAGAAAAGAAATGATGATAAGGAAAGGCAAAGAAAAAAAAGAACAAAAAGAAAAATGCAAAAGAAGGTGAATAAGTGAAGGATTTGAAGGGATTCAAAGAAAAGTAATGGAACAAAGCATGAAGAAATCAAAGAGGGAGAAAATGAATATCATAATCAAGAAAGAATGACTCTAAGTCTCTCTAGTTCTCCCAAGGAAAAGAAAATGCCTCAAAGAATTGAAAAGGCATGAGTCGAGAACAAAAAAATGGAGTGCTTAAGGAAAGATGAACCCACTCTATCATAGCATATCCAACCTTAGTCCAAAAGCCTTCATTGCATTCCGAAAAATCCCTACGTGATTTCAAGCCGAGTGAGCTTACATTAGTAGCGATCTACATGAGGGGCAAGCCTATAGTACTTAAAGCCTTACTTGCGACATTCTCTTGAGAGAGATGAGTGAACCTTTCGCAAATCTTTGAATTGAGTGCTAAAATTCTTAAGTGAGATAGGCAAGCGGAGAGTAAAGGAGGAGGAGTTTGGGATCCAGAATGACCTACATGAAAGAGCGAGCTTCCACAATGAATAAAGTCAACTCTTGATGCTCAAGTGTCACATTAGAACTATATGTGCACAAAAGTTTAACTTGTCGCCTTGTTGATAATACATAAGTAGTATGGGTAATTATTGGTATCAAGTGATGTGTGAATGACTCACCATTGATTGGTTGTAATGGTCCTTAACTTGTGGAGGTGGGGACTATTTTATTTGCTTGAGGACAAGCAAAGACTTAAGTTTGGGAGAGTTGATAAATGAGGATTTTGACTACTTATTAGCACATTTTAGCTTTTATTTTAGTTTAAAAGCAATGAATTGCGTTCCCGAAATTGATGAAATATGCTAAATTACAGGAATATTGGAAGATGGACTCCCGAGATAAAATCCAACTCAAAAAGGAGTAATCTAAACTCAAGGCAATAAAAGGCACAGAAGCTCATAAAGTGCGGACCGCAAAATTTCATATGCGGCCGCAGATGATGAAGGAAAGTCCAGCAGGCTTTTGTGCAAAGAGCGGACCGCACATGAATTGTGCGGCTGTAAAAGCTGGGCTAGGAACAAAGTTCAGAGAATGTGCAAATTCCTAAGTTCCAAGTCCCTCAGAAGTGCGGACCGCAGAACCAAGTTGCGACCGCAGTTATAAATCTGCGGACCGCAAAAAGAATGCCTCGCGGCCGCAGACCTCCAGTTCCTGACAAGTTGAAGAAATCTGCGGACCGCACATGGAATTGTGTGGTCGCAGAACCTCCCGAGGGGTATTTTTGTCCGAAGTTGTCAGCTTTATATAAATAGAAGAGTTTCACGAAATTAGGTCAATTTTTGATACCAGCAGCTACAGTAGACGTTTCTCTTTGCTTCTTTTAGTAGTTTTTAATATTTTGGGATATTTTAACAGAGATTTTATCATTTTAATTTTTACAATATGAGTTTAATTAGCATTTCTTCTTCTATTTCTTCAATTTCAAGCATGAGTAGCTAGATTTTTACTAGGGTTGTGACTCAACCCTAGTGTGTAAACCTTATGAGTGTTTAACTTAATTCTTGTTTATAATTGGGTATTTATTATTTAGCCTTGTTCATGCTTTAATTTGTGGAATTAATAATTGCAAATATTAGTTCATGCCTATTTGACTTAGTCTCTACTTGAGAAAGAGAGACTTAGTCTAGGACAACTCGGCTAACAAGAAATTGGGTCAATCGAGAGATTGATAATCCCAATTAAAGGGTTCAACCTAGAGATAGTAATAACCCGACTTGAGCTTTTATCAACCATTTTGTGCAATACTCATTTGGGCTTGAGAACGCCAAATTGTGCAAAAGCACTCTCTGACCGAGAGGTATTAAGTGCGTAATTGGGAGTTGATAGTTATAATACACCACGATCAATAAAACAAGCATTAAGGTTTATATCCCATTAGGCAAACACCTAGGTGATGGTCATAGCCCTAGGCTTTTTACAAAACTTGAAAAACAACAAAAATATTTTTTTAGTTTTACTTCTTAACTTTGCAATAATCAACCCAATTTGTGAAAGTGTAAATTGAGGTAGTTCAAACTCACGTACTACAATATATAAGCCTAACTCCCATTTGTAACTCCCTGTGAAAATCGACCCAGACTCTTGTTGTGTACTACTATTGCAATCGACCGTTTTATAACCTTGAATTGAGGTGTGAAATTGGGTGAGATCAACTTACTCAAAAGTCAAACCTTAGTCAATTTTTTCAACTTAAAGCTTCTGAAATTAGAATTTTATTTCCAAATTAACTCCGAACTTCCCGAATTTTAATTCCGACCACACGTACAAGTCATAATGCCTAAAGTAAAGCTACCCAATACCTCAAACCGCCGAACGATGCGCTAGAGCTCAAAACGATTGGTCGGGTCATTACACACTTGATTAATAAATTGCAAAGAGGTTGAAAAGACTTGATGAATCACTTATCCTTTTGCAAGTACAAGGAATATAATGTATGATTTCTAGATGTCCTCAAATCTATCAAAGAAAATGCAAAAACAAGAAAACTGAAAAAGAAGAGAATGTTTCACTTCCAAATAGACGGAGTAACCATTATGCAAAAAATATTAAATAAGAATCATTTTTTTGATACTTGCCCAAATCTTTCCAGAGAGATGTCTCATCAACTTCATAACAACAAAAGCAGCATTTAAAGTCGAGCAGCAAAAACAACAATATCCTACATTTTGCATATATGTCAAGCACAATAATAATTTGTTTTTGTGCTAAATTTGAAAACAATCATATTAGTAAAGTTGATGCAATGATCTTACCGCATGTCTCTAATAAAAACCAAACTACTGACTGTCCTTATTATCTTCTAGAGCAATTACATTGTATGTGAGCTGCCACAAAGAATTTATAATACCTTTTATGTCATTTATACAATTTATTTATTCAGAGAGAATGATAAAGGTATTGATAATATAAAATTATTCTATCATGAAAATGAACCTGGTGTGTTGGATTCTTATTCATTTCCTAAAATATCTTTACGTTTTGAGAGAAATGAAGAGTTATTAATTTGGTTAATGCTGGGAGATCAAAAGGCTTAACTAGCGTTTGACCATAGATTCCCAAATTTATTCTGAAAAATTTGATTTTGGTGAAGTTTGGTTTGAAGATGAAAATGTGTTTAGACATCTGTTTTGGGTGAAGTTTGGTTTGGAAAAACATGAAACATGACTTATACCCACAAGTTCTAAAAACTATCACAAATACCCAACAGTACCATTATCAATAACATTCATTATATTATCACAAACCATTATCCTGAACATAAATAAATTTAATACAAAATTATCATTTTTATAATGAACTACATGATACACTATCAGATGACCGAGAAGACGAAGCAACATCGTTACAAAATAATAAATGGTGGGCTCTTTTATAAAATATAAAAGTTTGGGGCAATTTTAAAAAATATAATAGTGATATTTTGGCCCAGCTGGTTTTGGGATTTGGGATTTGGTCAAAATATAGGTAAAATCTATGGCCAAACATGTGTTTGCTAAATAAAACTCAAGTTTATTTTGGCAAAATCTATGGCCAAACGGGTCCTTAGATTGTGATAAAATATTCTTTCCAGTTAACAATTTCACCACAATCATTATTTATCATTTAATAGGATTCACAATTTAATAACCAACTTTATTTTCTGTGCATTTATGTGAAATGATTAATGACTGTATTGGTGAAAATGAAATGGCATATCAAGAGGCCGAGAATAATAAATTAGCAGGTGAAAAACTCTTCCCATTAAGTACATACGTAAGAATAGTTTGGAAATGATTGATAGTTAATAAATTAATGAGAAGTAATTTTATTTGGATAAATTAAATGACATTGCACGGAATACATCTATAATTTTCTATAAAATTGTCTTCAATCCAAGATGAAAGCATATAAATACAATGAATTAATTAAAATTTGCAGCATCTCTAAAGTGTATACAATAACGGTTGAACGTATGGTAACCTGTTATCACGATTATTTCTTTGTTGTGAATTATTTATAAACACAACATTAAGCATAAAACATCATTTAATGTGAGGTCATTTTAATTTTAGGTAGAGGGTAATTTGGTCATTCAGTTTTTGAAGGACATTATAGTAATCTAAAAGTGTTCATGCTTGTATGAAAATTAAGCAGGATGGATATAACAAATTCGTATGATCGGCCCCGATTAGTCTGAGATCGAGAATAGTTGAGTAATGATTATTGATTGATAGGAAAAGCATGGAGTTTAACATTAGCACAATGCAAAAGATCTGTCAAGTGAATTGTTAGAAGGCACAATCGTCAGACAGTAAAAATGAAACATCAAGCATTATTATAAACAAGCTGAAGAAAACAGCTCAACAAATGTCAAATCTGGTCAATCTTGTCTTGTAAAAGAATGATGAAGATCAATAAGAATGCTGTATTCAGCCTAAATAGTAACAAAAGATAAAAGATAAAAGGAAATGATAAGAGGAGAGCACATTTTGTCAGCAAAGTCCCGAGCAGGGTCTTGCCTATTTTTGCCTGGTCTCCAAGGTCATATGCGTTCCTGGTAAATGGCACCAAATTCTGCTCTCCATGCTTGATCATCATCATATTCATGATGTTGGACGGTTTCACTGTTTGCTACATCTGAGTCCTCCCTGTACAATGGCGGCCTCAATGCTGCTTCTGGCAATCGGCTCTCAGCAAGATACTGTTTCATTGTTATCATCTCCATCTTATGTTTTCTCTTCAGCTTCTCTATTTGCTTCTTTAATTTCTCATTCTCTTCCTTTGATTTTGTAAAGTTTTCCTGTAAAAAAAAAAAGGGAATATTTGATCAAAATGACTACATCTCCAGACATGTTTAAACACAAAATTACCTCAGCAACTGAAGCTGTTTCCTCTGCTTCTCTCAACCTAACAAGAAGTTCTCCAGCAGCGTGAACAGCTTCAGCAGTGTCTTTAAGTTGAGCTCTAAGGCTTCTATTCTCCTTTTTCAGCATTTCCCTCTCCCTCTCCCTTTCCACTCTCAAAGCTGAGAGCTCCGCAGCGAGAGACTTGGCAAAACGAGCACCATGACCTTTTCTTCCTGCTTTTGCTGCAGCCATTTTCACATCTTGTATCCCCTGCAAGATCAACTTATGCTTCTCAGCTAAGTCGTTGTATTTATCCTGTAATTCCGCATAATGCTCAATCATTCTGGCTTGCCCAAGGACGGATCTTTTGAGGGCATCATCCAACTCTTCTGTGCACTTCTTCTCCAACATCAGTTCCATTGCCACCTTTTCTGCACGCCGGCGGTGAGCCTCGAGATCAATTCTCAGTTCATCAGTTAAACAAATCCACTCGCTCTCCATTTCGGTCCATCTTTCTCTTTCCTTCTCAAGTTCTTCACCAGAACTTTTAGGATATGCACCACTTTTTCTCAGCTGCATTGATTGTGCCAATAAGGAGGATCTGGTTCTTTCAATTGATTTATTTGTAGAAGCTCCATTATGTGACTGCAATTGGGACCTTAAACCTTCAATTTCTTTTAGTAATGTTTCTCTCTCAGCCATATCAAACAATCTTTTCCCACCACAATGATCCACATCGCCCTGAATTTCTTTAATTTCATACTTCTCTTTTACAGCTTCAGGATCAGGACTTTCCTCATCATCCCATTTCAGAAGCTGTAAACATATCACAAGTAGGTATTAAGATAATACGGGAAAAGGCTCCACTTCAACAAAAGAAAGCAAAAGCAGCACTAACCTTTGGGTTGTTTAGTGATTGACTCCCATTCTGATAAATTATTGAAGCCTGCTTCTCATAGTCCTTGAATTCAACGACCTTACCACATTCAATCAGGGAACTTGGTTCTATTGTGCATTTACACTGGACTAGCTGCAAGGACAAAATTCGCAATGGATGTCAAATATCAAGTAAAGTGTTGTCACATTAAAATAAAATATTACTCGAGTGAAAGAACTCTTACTCGTTGGTTTAGCTGCTCAATTTTGTCTGCTTGATCCTTGCATACGCTTTCAAGCTGCTTCTCTCTCTCTAGAGCTTGGAACAGAACTTTCTCTGGGTCCTGCCAAAGAAAAAATAACATTTTAATTTAACAGTCACAATGAGCCAAAAAAGAAAGAGGCAAGCTACTCATTTACATACTTCAGGCACTTGATCGGAACTTGCCCCTTCCACAGGGACCATCCATGATGTCCGAAGGCTACCCTGAACATCACTAGAGGAAGTTGCTTTCCTGTTGCACTTTGGACACACAAATGAAGTAGCTAAAAAACGAGAAGTTAGTCCCTCTGCCGATGATGTTTGAACAGAAGAGTTGGCCTTATCATTTGATAATGGGCTTGGTTTTACTGCCAAATGTTCAAAAGAGAAGGAAACTAAGGATCTATTTGATGCGGAGTTCCTCTGGTGATAGTCAATGATCTCCAGACCTCTATGCAGACTGGCAGCCAAGGACTCAGTTGGCCCAGGAAATATTCTGCTGGACCTCAAAGAAGACTGGACGAGGTCACCTTGTGGTAGGGGAGACAACTCTGGACTTTTGGAAGAACATTGGATATCATCTTCACTGGAGACAATTAAGCTTTTCCTCTGGGTACTTCGGAACTTTGGCGACTCAGATAACACAGGGCCCTGAAGAACAGCAGAACCGCGACGTGGGCTGATTGAGATGCTATTACAGTACTCAGGTTGCATTATTTCCATCTCTTGATCAGCATTATTTTGGGTCTCCTCTAGTGTTTCTTCTGAGTTAATTTCTTCATTTCCACTCTCTTCTGAGCAGCTGAGATAGTGTTCACTTTCTCCAGAAGAATATTTTAGGGAGTCTTTCTTCTCAAGTGTTTCTTTTGAGTTATCTCCATGTGAACCACGTAAGTTATCAATCTGGAGTTGTAGTTCTTTTATATCATCCTCATTGATGTGAATCTCTTCTTCACGATCATTATCTATGCTAGGTAAGATCAGTGAACGGTTAAGGCTCACTCTCAACTGATTCAAGCTTTCACGTACATTTGGTCCTCTGAAGTAGCCATTGCTTCCAACTGAAATGCTTGTGCTTGACCGTGCTCTTATTAGCTCTTCCTGTAAGTGATAAAAGTATTTGTCAGATAAGGTTCACTTTCTCTATGAATTGGAAGCACAGTTTGCCCCCTTGAGACAAGTGGAGTACCTTCAGTTGGCGAATCTGATCACTCAGGCCATTAACATCATCTTCTGATATTTCATTTACCAATGGCTCATTTGGCATGAGTTTCACCCGTTTTCCAAATCTGAGAGTGCTTATTGTTTCACTATTATGCCTACATAAATGTTCCCCAAATCAGTGACATAAAGAAAATTTAAAAAACTAATATTTCATATGCAGTTGGTCATATGACCTCATCCAGTTTCACTTGTGTACCAAATAATTTTACAATGTTAAGCGTCAGATAAGATATGTTATTCATGCATGCCATCGGTAACAGAATGCTTTTCCCAGCTAAATTAAGATGATCTCTGCAATATATCTTCATAAATAAACACTGAATGAATCAAACGAGGAGGTACTTGTTTTCGGGGGTGACAGCACATATCACTGCGAGTTTGGCATTCCCTCCAAGTGATTCTCTCATTAAATGAGTCAAAGCGGAACTGCTATAGGAAACATCATCAAATTTCCCTGACTGGCTCCTTTCAGAAAGGACATTTACCAAACGCCTGCACCAGTTTTAGAAACAATTAACTAAGTACCATGCCTAAATAGCTGGAACTAAATTTTACTTTTTCCTGAACATAAAATTTCTGTTGGCACCACAAACTTTAATCTGAGAAGGCTTCTTTGACATATATGAGGTAATTTGAGATCAGAACATTAACTCCCTCCATACATACAAGAAAGTATTCCTGTCACAATCTACTGCACAATTTTTGCTTTGGGTAGCACATTTTTTGAGGTATACTTATGATGACAGCAAATTGGCAACATTGATCAGATTTCAAAAATGTCATCCATTTACAGCTTTCAACATTTACTTTTCTTTCTTCAATCAATATAACTACATCAATGAGCACAAAGGCATCAAAGTGCTTTCAAACTGCAAACATCTCAAACCTCTATGCATAATTTTGGCAATATGTGAAGATGAAAAGCAGAAGCACTTTGCTTGTAATATTTGAAAAGAAGAAATTTAGGAAAAAGATGTTTGAGTGCAAGTGACATCAAACACAAGATGACATTTAAATCAACGGCGAACAATCACTCAAATGCATTTATGAGCCATACCCGAGCTGTGATGTGGACTTCTTTACGTGCTTCCCTTCCTTAACAAACAGTTTACTAGCATCATCAGGTATAAATCTTTCAAATCCAGCAAGATCAACAAGGTTCATTCTGCTCATCTTTGAACTACCAAAACATTTTGATGAGGACTCCTGAAGCAATATTTTTAGATTAGGCAACTTGAAAGATTAAAGGAATTTTAGAAACTAGAAGGTAATATGAATTGCAGAATTGAGCTTGTTGCAGGACGACTAGTTAAGTATCGATGACTTAGTAAGCACACTGGTTAAATAAGGAGGCTAATGTATAACATTCTTTCCTGACAATGATAAGGCACAAGAAATCGTTTTTCTTTGTTGAAAAATACCTTGCACCAGGATTCAATGATGCAGGTAAAAACAATGTGGGACCTTGAACTCTTCGAGTTTATGTTCGTTGATCCAACTTTTCTGCTTGAAAGGCCCTACAATTCATATGCAAAAGAATAAGAAACAAAAAGAACTGAAAAACTGTAAAAGAAAGATCATCAAGCAGATGCAATCTCAGTTTGTTGCATTGACAGAGCAACAAGATTTTTCAAAACAAAAAAAAAAGTAGTGTAGAGGAGGAAAAGCACTCAGTGCTGTAATGCCACCTTAATCAATATCTGGGTGACGTCCTCATAGGTAGACACGTATTCTTCAGTCAAGTTTTCAACATAGAATCCAACCCTTGGATCGTCCATTATCTGGAACAGCCAAATCTTCAGCGCTCTATCTTCAGAAAGTAAATAAAGACCAGAACAGCATTCTTTTCCAAGTTAGAACAGGTAACTAACCTTTAAGTTTCGCTGTGTAGGATCGAGTAGATCCCCAATATGTTCTTCATATATCTGTAAAGGTACAAGTTTGACATGTTTTTACGTGATACCATATGCAAGAGACGTGGACTTGGGTAAAAGACAGAAAAAACATACCTCTAGGAATGAGCAACGACACTGGTAATTTATCTGTTTACCTTCAGAGTTCTCTTGCTCCTGATCAATCAGGGAAATTATCAAAATATCAGAGATGTCTTGACAGTCTTTAGTTCTGATTCATGATTGGATAAAGAACTTACTCTCTGAATACTAGAAAACAACGTCTGGAAAATGCGCGGAACAATGCCTTGAAGACCAATAGGTGATGGAACTTCAACCATGGAACTAGGAGGTCCCCACATCGTATATGTCTTGCCACTTCCAGTCTATGACCAAAAGAATCACTTCAGGCATCAGATACAGTTTATTTTGACACAAATAGGCCATAAAAATGAAACATAACAAGTAAGACCAACCTGTCCATAAGCTAAGAGAGAAGTGTTGTAACCTGCCAATGCATCCTTAACTAAAGGGGCACCAACTGATTGAAATATGTCTTCCTGTTGTCATAAGAAAAACCAGCTTAAAACTAAAAATCCCCTAATTATCGGAACCTTGTAAATAAAAAATCAGCCAAATCAGATCCCTCCTTAATTCCAACAACTGCACCTCTATCCCAAACTAGTAGGGATGGCTAAATGAATTCGCTATATATTTTACAATCTATTCGGACCAATGTCATTTAATTAGCATAGTAAGTGTAAAAACTAAACTAATTCAGATTAGCTAGTACAGCCGATAGTTACTTCCATTGTTCAACTCTTAACTAAGTCCCCCTCTTTAATTACGAATATCAGAAATAACTAAAAATGAAAAGGGTTGTGTAAATGCAAAGAACCGTGCACCATCTAATCCAAAATAATTTGAAAAGGCAGAAACTTGGGACTTAATTTCCGAACCTGAGTTGAATTGGAATCAAAAACCATGTCAAAGTTAAACTTTCGATCAGCAACGTATACTGAAGTATCAGAAACTTTGCGAACCGCTTGGCTTCCACTCTCATTACCATTGGCAGGTCTAATCCTTACAACTACCTGTCAAACACCCAGCAAACAGAATATGTGAAGATCATTATAACCAAAAACACAATAAACAGTTCTAGTGTAATTTTTTTTACGCCTAGTAGGTAATTACAGATATATGCATGCATTGATTGATAATCTGTTAAAAATGGTAACTAACCTACTGTCACAGGTTAAAATCCATTGGCAGTATAAAAAAATCATTACAACTGTCAGTATATATATATATAACTTAAACCTTTTGCTCGAGTTATATATACACAGTTCGAATCTATTGTCAAAAAAGTAACACAGTCCATATAACCTACTGATTTTAAAATAAAAACCCTCATGCGAAATATGAATGAAATCTGCAAGGGATTATTAAATTACCTTGACTGGTGAGTCAGGAGCTTCTAGAGTTTGTTCCAGGGCTTCAGATCTGGTGAGATCTTCCGATGTATAATCAGTATCAACCACGGGTTTTTTGAGGATAGAACTTGTAGGTAGAAGAGGGGGATCGGTGATCTGAATGTTGGGATCTATAGGAGCAACATTTTCACTGTTCATTTTATGTTTAAAGCGGCTTGAATTCAATTTTTTCTTAGTTGAAACTGATTTCGGGAGGAGGTTCCGGATTGATGAGGCTGAAATGTTGCCTAAGAATCTGTTCTCTGACATCTTTGAATGAAGAAAAGAGGGGTTGAGGAAGAAGAAGAAGAAGAATAAGTTGGTGGTGGTGGTGGTGGAGGAAATTGGAGACGAAGATTTGAATGTGAGATTGGAATTAGAGAGACGTTAGAGATGTATACGTCTATATGGTGAGAGATGACCGTTGCTCGACGGGGGTTTAAATGTTCAAATTGAAAGATTGAATGACAAAACTATCCTCTCACTCATTCTTTAGTTTCAACAGTAGGATTTTGTATGGGCTTTAGATGCCTTTAGTTCTGGGCCGTAGCCTAAGGCCCAATATTTGATGGGCTAAATCTGCCTTGATTTGGAGGGAGATTTGTACCCATAGGATTATGAAGAATTAACCCAAATAGCCGCTCATCCAATAACTTAAACTAAAAATAGCCGGTGGAGGTATAATATATGCATAATTTATGTATTGTATGTATATAATTAATGAATCAAATATACACGTGGCCCAATCTGTTAATTTATGGCCCAAACCGTTACCCATGCTCAATACCCGACACCAAAACTCATAACCCATACTCTCTCTTTCTTTGGGTTAGATTCAATTGTGTACATCAATTACTTGCCACCTACTCTTGATGATGATGATCAACGTGTTCTCTCTTTTTGGTACCATTGTGATGGCTAAAGTTACAAATTAAAGGACATTCTAAGCTAGCATTTGGCCATAGATTCCCAAATTTATTCTGAAAAATTTGATTTGGGTGAAGTTTGGTTTGAAGATGAAAATGTGTTTGGGCATCTGTTTTGGGTGAAGTTTGATTTGGAAAAACATGAAGCATGACTTATATCCACAAGTTTTAAAAACTATCACAAATACCCAACAGTACCATTATCAATAACATTTATTATATTATCGCAAACCATAGTCCTGAACATAAATAAATTTGATACAAAATTATCATTTTTATAATGAACTACATGATACACTATCAGATGACCGAGAAGACGAAACAACATCGTTACAAAATAATAAATGGTGGGCTCTTGTATAAAATATAAAAGTTTGGGACAATTTTTAAAAAATATAATAGTGATATTTTGGCCCAAAACTAGCTATTGAGCGGGTTTTGGGATTTGAGATTTGGCCTAAATGTAGGCAAAATCTATGGTCAAACATGTGTTTGTCAAATAAAACTCAAGTTTATTTGGCAAAATCTATGGCCAAATGGGTCTCAAGTGATTTGAGTAAAAGTTATGAATTTGTTAAGTATGCGGATATTCAATAATGGCCAAAGTTACACGTTCTTCGAAGGCAGCAAATTCTTGGAACCATTGCTTCAAAATTTTAATCCGAACTCAACCTAAGCTTCTCCGATCAATCTCAATTTGTAACCAAAGACTCTCAACCAAAATTCGAACAAAGCCCAGTGATTAATTCAAGGAAGCTCAGGTTGTCTGCTTCACGGAGTCAACTCTAATTTGTTCAATCTAACTTAACCAAAACTTCACAAATTAAAATGCACTCGAATTTTACCCACAACTTATGTACAATGATACGAATAAGATCCAACAAACAATTTGAGCAATAAGAGATGAGGTCAAGAAACCCCGTGCATCTTCTCCACATATTAGGCCTCAAAAAATTTCGATCAAGCTCCTGTCAAACCATATCCAAATGCACTCAGATTTTGGATTCAGCTTCTAACAAGCTTTTACAATAGATTTAAAACTCACCAAGTCGATTTTGATTTAAAAACTTCACATCTAAAGTTTTGAACCAAGCTCAAAACTGATTTAATAAATTAATTAAATTAAACCAACAACATGAGAAGCATGATATGCTGGTTAGGGTATTTGGCTGATGAGATGAATACAAAATAATGGATGGTTTTCAATGTATTTTTTTTTCCCGTCACATCGCTAACAATGAAGCATAAAGATAAATCAAACAGTAGTCCAAGAGGTCAATGAGAAACAGACTTGTGACACTATGATTCTAATTTTAATCTAACCATTGAGTTGCTCCGTTGGACAATAATCATTCAAGAGATTTGATTTTGTAGTTCGCTATAAAATTTATTTTAGTTATATGATCTTTTGATAGGAGATCAGGAAATAAAATATTTTAGGTGTCCATTGCTTGCTCACTCCAGGTTTTCATTCCTACACACTGACAGTAGCTCTAGAAACATCGGCTCTTTCATCTCTTTCCACAAATAAATGCTCCTCCAATCTTCCCATTTATTAATTATATGATTTTTATAGTTCTTGAATGAAAGTTTCTCCCTAACGATGCCCTTTTGTCATTCTTGCCCTGTCAGCTTAAAAATCATGTGCCTATTTCTATTTCCCTTATTTCCATTTGGAATATCTATGTATTTGCTTTTGTATGTATGAGATTTTTATCTTGCAATTGTCTTTTGGGGTTTGATTATGATTTTCTTTTTCTTTGGGAGCTATTGAATTACATTTATTTTCAAAGTTTTTGTTTGTGTGTGTTTTTTCATCTGTTCCCAAAAATTTACAAGGATGAGAGGGGTTTATCGAATTGATTTCTCCTTAACACTTTGACGGCTCTTTAATTGCATCTAAATTATCAAAGTGAGGTTCTTGAATTGCTTTGGTAGCTCTTTCCTTTTGTCTTATTATTTTGTAATATCTATTTTTGTTCCTCAGGGATTACTTATTATTATTATCGGGTTTCTTATCTCCTTCTTGATTCTTGCCGCTTTATTTCAGGGAAAACCTTAAGTCTAAGCTCTAAAGAACCAAAATATATGATGGAATTTCATTCCGGTAAGTTGCTTGTCATGTCTTTTACTTTTTGAAGCCCTCAGTTAAACTTTATATGCCTTTAAGATTCTGATGCTTTTACATATAATGTAAAAGAAGTTTTTGAAATAATTTGGACATGTTTGTGAAAATGATAACCAAACACGATCTTTTAGTCATAGAGGATCATCAAAGAGTTTCATTTCATTTGGATGAGTCACATGTATAAGACAAGAGTGGGTTGCTCTAGTGGTAAGCACCCTCCACTTCCAACCAAGAGGTTATGAGTTCGAGTCACCCCAAGAGCAAGGTGGGGAGTTCTTGGATGGAGGGAGCCGAGGGCCTATCGGAAACAACCTCTCTACCCCAGGGTAGAGGTAAGGTATGCGTACACGCGTACACACTGCCCTCCTCAGACCCCACTAGTGAAATTATATTGGGTTGTTGTTGTTGTTTGTTGAGTCACATGTATCTGTTTTGGTTATATTGGAAGTTGAGAGATTCTCTACCAGCAATATTTTAAAATGAAATGGCATGTTTATGTATGTCATGTAAGTTAGAATTCAAAGAAGATTCTATAGATACTCATATTAAGCAATTATAGCTAGATTCCTTTCATTTGATAGTAGAAATCGTTGTAAGAGAATCATTTCACTAGACCCAAGTGAGCCACATTTGACCTAAAAATACCTAAGCTTTTGATTATCTAAATTTTACTCAACATTTATTATTTTATTATTTCCTTGTCAGCTTTGTCATGACAAGAAGAAATAATTATATAATCAAGATCATGAGACACAAGTTGAAGAACCTTTATTGGATGTTTTGAAGTTGACAAGGAAGTTGTCGTCTTCAAGGATTGAAGTTCAAGAACTAAATGTAATTCAAGAACAGGTTAATCAACCAGTTCCAAAATCAAATTGAACAACAACCAAATCCAACACAAGGTGAGCAAGTTGTACAAGAACCTCATAGAAGGTCTACATGAGAATGTCATGTACCAACTAAATTAAATCTAATGGTACAAGATGATGTATCAAATGAGGTTGATCATAATGATGATGACCCTAAAATCTATGAAGAGGCGACACAAGGTTCTGACAATGAAATATGGCAAATGGATGTGAAAATAACTTTCCTTAATGGTGAGCTAGAAGAGGATGTGTACATGACACAACCTGAAGGTTTCATATCTTCACCTGATCATAATAAAATTTTCAAGTTATAAAGATCCATTTATGGACTAAAGCAAGCTTCTCGAAGTTGGAATATTCGCCTTAACAAGACAATTGAAAAGTTCAATTTTGTTAGATGTGAAGAAGAACCTTGTGTGTACAAAAAGGTTAGTGGGAGCATAATTATATTCTTAGTACTATATGTTGATGATATATTTCTGTCACTATTGACCAAAGAGGAAACTGTTCTTCTACGTTTGTGAAATTATTGTTATTCTTAATTATTTATTGCTATTTAGAGTCGTAATCACATGTAAATACACTATTAGAATTCAAATTGTTGGGCCCGTGCTATGCACGGGCAATACTCATCTAGTATATATATATATATATATATATATATATATATATATATATATATGCTAAATGTTGAACGACTAAAATAACCTCGAAATATTGGTCGACTTTTATAACCTGAAATGTTTGTATAATTTAAGGATATAATTGTAAATCACCCGAGGCTGGTTTTTGTTTCCATTTAAACTACGCATACACCAACGCTACATAGCCGACTTTGGGTCAAATTGTTTGTTTGGACTTTCTCCTCGTTGCATACTTCTTCTTGCTTGTTGGACAACAATATGGCAGATTTGGATTTTTGGACTCTACTCCTCACCGCCTACTTTTTTTGCTAGCCTATTCCTTTTTTGACAATAATATGCTTCCTTATTTAATCTTCTCCCGTTTGCATGGGATTAGAATTTATTACATGAATCCATGTAGAAAAAGAATAAGCCAGTTATTCTTATAAAAAATGACATTGTTCCACATTATTCATTGTTCTCTAAAGGTATTTGTTGTGGAAGCCAAATGTATATAATGTGAATGAGTCACAACTACTATACCAAAAATTATGACAACCACTAAATAATAAATAAGACAATAAGACAACAATAAAAGAACACCAGAATTTACGAGGTTCGGCCAATTTTGCCTACTTCCTCGGACACAATCAATATTTTATTCCACTCCAAAATTACAAGTGAAATAATACTAAAGAGAGAAAATACAAATGCCTTAAGAAGATAAAAGGCAAATGAGAGGTGTGTTTAAATCCTAAACATTAGGCCT